AGTAGTTAAAGCGTGAAAGCGTAACAAACCGACAAACTCACTTTCGAATTTATAATAGCAGCATTCTTTTGCAACCGAGCTGCAAAAGAACACTCGCTCATATGACGAGATACATGCAAAGCAACAACACAAACTCGGCTATTTATTCGCGTTCAGCCAAGTCGGTTAAAAATACGAGACCTGAAGGGTGTTTCCTTATATACATGACTCATATTTTATAATATTCATTTTCATTGGTTGTTGTATCTAAATCCCGTTAAACTAATCACATATTTCTCGGCAAAAACCAACAGGATTGCTTAAGTAGCAAAACGGAAGTTTTACCCGAGCTGAGCGTTATTTTTTCGCTCGCTTAACTTTCGTTAAGTCAAAGATTTTGTAGTAAGGACACTTTATTCACCAAAAAATAACTTTCACAGACAAAGTCACAACAGCCAGAACGAATTAACACATATGGAAGATAAAAAGTGTGAAAAGGAATTGATATATATTCTACTATGCCATTATTGATACAAAAATATGAGCATTTTAATTATGTGAGTTTTTCTCGTTTTGGTTGACTACTTCTCGGATTTGCCCATATACGCTATGCATGAATAAACCTCTCCTTTTTATTTTCAAGGAATAATACTCTTAACACAGTGCTAAATATATATAAGTAAAAAAGGAATACACCCGAAACATAACATAATGGAAGTTATAGGTGGGTCGAATACTTGTGCCGGTTCGAGGTCAAATGCTTTTAGAAATTCAACTAAAATTAATTTAATTGAAATTCTAACAGCATTTGAACTCGAGCCGGCACAACACTCAGAAAAAAGCATTTCCTTAAATCAAGAAAACAATATCCTCATTTTCGAGTTACTGTTTTTTCCTTAGTAATACGAAAAATTTACACAATTTCAGAAATTTTTCCTTAATTTAAAAATAGGGCGTCATTAATTTGAAGAAGTAAATTTACTCAATATAAGTAATAATTTCATCAATATAAGTAATAATTTCCTTTAAAAATTTTGAATTTTGTCAGTGCTGTTAAGACAAAGTTAATTGCTTTCCTGGCAAATATCGGCAGTGGCGTCGCGTGAAGACTACTTCTTTAGATTCTGAGATCGCAGGTTCGAATCCAGTTGTAGGTGGCTAGAGTAAGGTAAGTCAATTATTTTAATTTAAATATACAAATTGTAAAAATAATTTCATATATGGAAAAACTTAAATACTCAATTAACATAAAAAATCAATTAAATATATTTTTTTAAATACAATTTAAAAAATTACAATTAAAAAAAAATATAAAAATAATAATTTTCTGCTCTGGGACTCGAGCCTTGCATCCCTCGACTACGAATCCCAGAGCTTAGCTGTGTCAGCCATTGTCACTGTTTGAGCGCCGCGAGCAAAATGACATACTTATTCCTTTCACGGGTGGCAAGTAAATTTTTCCTAAAAATTAAGGAATTGTGTTTTCCTTAAACTGAGTCAAATCGTTTATTCATATTAAGGCAGCCATGTCATTGGAGCCATTTCAAGGTAATATTTCCTTAGAATACTATACTTTTTTCCTAGCATCGAGGATTTTTTTTTTTCTGAGTGAACTAACAAATTAGTAAATAGGTTGTCCAAACCATCATCATAAAGAAAATATGTATAAAATAGGTCGATCTTCCACAAATCTAAAGTAGGGCGTCCTTGAGCCATTTTCTGAGATAGGGCGTTTTCGAACCGGCTGCTGAGATGGGTCGATCTTCCACTCAGCCGTCGAAATGGTGTGACAAAAGACATATGGTCTCAAAAAGACATACCTTACTTAAAGAATCCCATTTGTACTGAAATGATTTCAGTGAAATCCACTTATTAAAATTTATTTAATAGTTTGCTCGCTGATAAGCAATTTTTGTGGTTACCGGGGCGTATGATGAACGCGATTATAGGCAACCTTTGCCTAAATTCTTGCGACCGCTCTGACACATGTAGTGACTGCGTCACTGCGTCACTGCGACAACTGAAGCTGACTCTCGTCCACAAGTGGTGCTGGACACCGATTATGGCATTCACAGGACGGGAGTGTGGGAGTGTTCGGATTTTGGGCTTATTGTAGAACTCTTTTCAGCACAACATTCTAGGGTCTAGGGTAAAGTATCTTGCCCATTTAATTTGCGGTTCAAATTTTTAATATTTACAAAACACTGTGCCCTGCTAGCGCGTCACTGCGTGGTATCTCAGACGCTTCTTCGCTTGATCACAATCTTGACGTTGTGTTGACTATGTGGCGCGCTCCGGTGGGCAGCAAGCAATATAGCTAACTTTGACTACACATAAATGAGCTACATACATAGTACTACTTGGTTGGCTGGTTGGCTAAGTTGCTGATGTCAACCACAAGGAGAGAATAAATGACGGCAATGTACTACGATTATTGTGTTGATGAACAACTACAAATTTTGCTACTTTCAATTAATACAAACTGTATGTATGGATGTATGTATGTACCTGTATGTATGTATGTATGTAGGTATTGTGTATGCGCGTGTATTCGAATTGTAGAAGAGCAACAGCTACTCAGAAGACTACACGTACTCATACCCGGCGGTACAAACACCTTACATGCTCGCAAAGCGACGGCAACGAAAAAACGCTTTATTTTTTTTTTTTCAAGTGAACAACTAGCGAACGAGTCTTACCTTTTGTATAGAAAAATTTAGTATAAGTGGCGGCGGACGTGAATTTCAATGCTGTTTTTCTTTTGAAACGTTAGTTAAACGAATTATAGCGATATCGGTTACGGGTTCCACATTTACGGGAGTGAATTTAACCTTACGAAGTTCGTACATCATCGGGGAAAATCCAATCTAAAGAAAGTGCAAAATTAGTTTTACAAAGGTAAAATATCTGTACGTACATATGTACATCTGTATGAACAAGTGTGTGCAAATTTATTTGAAAATTAAAAAAATTAAAAAAAAAAAAATGATTATAATATCCAATAATGGAAATAAAGGATGAGTTGGCTGCAAAGAAAACCAAACATAACTGCAATAATTTCGCAATTTCAACGTGTCTTGTTTCGATTTCCTTAGGTGACTTCTTTGAAAGTGAACTGCACGAAATTCGCAAGCATTCCATTGGCGAATTTAATGCAAATGAGCTGTCCGGATGATATATATGTATATATGTATGTATGTATGTGTGTGCATATGAATTTTTTTCTTACTATCCTCAATATAGTTCACGTGAGGGTTTGCTGTAATCAGCAATTGCGATATCTGGGTAGGTATACAAAAAAATATT